ATGAACGGACGCGCAGCGTAATGCATCACTAAGGCCCCACAACACAGTTTGGCGAGATGGCTCAGTTGAAACCTCATATGTGGATCTGGACGTGAACATGCCTCATCCCAACATGCCTATCAGGATACCAGAAGCTTAAAAGTACGCATTAGCACAGAGGGGGAGAGGGAAAGACAATTCGTCGCGCCTCTGTGTCCCTTCTTCTAATCAAGGCTTGGGCTCATTGAAGAACATCCTTCTCTGGGAGTCTAACTTTCACCACTCTGGTCATCTGCGCTCTTAGACTAAGCCTTTTCGGGGAAGGAATACAGATGCGCGGTCAACTGGTTCTCCCTCAGCTACGTGAGTGCTAAAGAAGATAGGCTTTTTCCATCCCTTGTCTCTTAATGCTGGGCAATAACCAGCTAAAACGGATCAGGTCATATCTGGAAGTCGTATTATGTGTTGATACGTTACACTCATGTCGCAGCGTTGCGTTGCGACGCGTGCACGGCATTCGTATCGGGACCTAGTCGATTCAACGTTGAAGTGCTCCAGTATCTCCTAACTAGGAAATACTCTGCTAGCTTGTGCATGCCACTTCAATCTGAACTAAACCCCCGCACCCGCGGTATTAGATCTCGTATCTATTCTTTCATTGTAGGTGTAGTGCAGTGCCCGTAGGGGTTTCGATGTACTTTCCCAAATTGTGTTTGACGCAGGTTAGCCAAGCCTAAGAATTTTTGAATTCGATTACTTAGAAACGGGCTTGTCAGGCAAGACAGAAACAATGGCAGATGGAACACCTATAGACTTCCACAAATTAATGTGCAGCTAAAATCACTAGAAAATAGGCCTTTGAAATACTCGTAGCTGATCGATCCCTCCTTGGGATACGCCACTTATTCTGCTGGCATTTAGAATTCTAGTGTCATTTGAAGGCGGTTTTTGAATTCGAAATTGAGTGCGGTATGTGTACGTCACCTTTTATCCTGTCTGACGGTACCAATTAGCCAACTTAGGGGGGATGAAAAGCTCGATTGGACTCGGTATCACGGTCTTTAGACAACTTGGTCTCGATTCCGTCGGATGCGTTCTCTTTCGCGGCCGTATGGCACTCTGTGGTCATCATGATCTCACACTCTCAGCTTTTCACGCATCATAATTGGCTAATCTCCCCGAGTCCGCTCCCTTTGAAAAATCCCATGTCCTGGCTCGCCACATGTTTCTTGCATATTTCAGTGCCTTGGCAGTCGCTGTACTCTGTCTGCGATGCATGATTCAGCAGCTGGACCATACAAACAGCTTCAAGATGTCACCTAACTAAGTATCACCTGCTCCGGACTTCGTTTACTAGACTGTTCGCGTCGTAAACGGCGCCACTTGCCACCATGCCAATCCGCCTAATTCTCGCGAACACCCCAACAATGTGAAATGCAAGTAAAAGGCGCCTCAGTCACCAAAGGACGACCGTCAGAGATACCTCTACCCCTTATTGTCCACTTATTTATCAGGAACAGGTGGGTTGGTGAGCGAGATTCCCGATGTGAATTCTATAACGGTTCTATGGGTAGTGTCCATGACATCCAAGGCTCCGCATCGCGCGCCTAGCAGATTATTTTCTAGCTGGAACAGTTGACGACTTGGGTCCTGGTGCGAACGTTGCCAGCCCGCTTCTTTTCCTTTTTCTCACGGCAAGAGAAAAGAATCTAGCATATTGTTCTTAAAGGAATGGTCCACGATGACCTATGAAAATGCAAAAAGTTGTGTGGGAGGTTAGCGCAGGTCCGCGGTGGACAACCTTGTGCCAGTTTTGCGGCGGAAAGTTGTTAAGGTAAAGAATGACGCAAAGTTGCCTCAGTGACACCTCCCTTTTTCCAGTGACTCCCGCCTCCAGACTCCGCCTTCAAAGCCCGCCTTCCAGCCAAAAGCGATGCTACCGCACAAGTAGCATGAAAGGGAGATGCTCCATAGTCTTCTGCAGAGTCATACGGACTATTAGGACCGACCGGATGCGATTCAATACGCGGTCTTTCCGCCTTTTACCCGTACAACTGTCTGAGACCGGAGTGGTCGTATAGGGGGCGTTTCCGAAGTTCCCTTTGGCATTTTCTCTTTCAGGCGAGTCACTTGGCAAAATGTTTTCCTTATTTCCACACTATTAAATAACCTCCTCATCGCGGACCGTGCCTTTAACAGTGGTTTTTTACCAACTGTTGTCGCTCACTCGCTCCAAAAACTGGTGGAGAACGGTACGCCATACCCAGCACCACTTAAACGCCCCTCATCCTGGTACTATGCATCCTGTAGAGGGTGTGCTAATAACGAATACTGCGCCTCATCCTCACGCTCAGCGAAGTTTCCTGCAGATTAAACCTCTAAGTTGATCTGCTCAGAATATATAGTCAAGCAAAGGTAAACGTGAAGGTACAAGTGACTTGAGAAAAGACCCCTTCCTTTTCACCGTGCCAAACTCATTGAACACAGCACTCCTCAAATTTAATTTTTTTTTCAGGAATCTACCTCGCGGACTGTACTATCCAGCATTTTCGGTGAATTGCAACTCGACGATCACCATTCATACTGGACTTTGTGCTCCATCAAGTTCGAGTAGTGATAGCGAGTAGAACCCATCCTTGCCAGTGAAGACGACCTCATCCAAGAAACTTATCAACATCATTTCAATTCTTCTGTTCCTTCTATTTCTCTCCCATACTGCCAAATAATCTTATCAGCAATACACTGCGCTGTATCCTATCCAGCTTTACCGTATTCATCTACGGGGGGTCCGGCTCACATTGATGCACGTCCCGATGTACTATTTTCGTCAGTTCTAACCGGTATTTCTACTATATGTACCTATTCTATGTGAGCATAATCAATAAAATCTACTACATATTGTAGTATTTCTGATGAACTGTATGTGCAAGATATTCATTCACAAATAAAATAGATTATATTCAAATCATGTGGTCAGGGAAAAATGTGAACGCCAACGATCTCTGTGATTACCATCATTACAGGAGGATCGTCTGAGATGAATAACTTCGAGACGACGGATAGTACAACGCAAGGACATCGGCGGCGTTTTCCTACCTCTGTTCGGGTGGGTGATTGCTTCAACCAGGGCATTCGGAGCGCAATTAAGGAAAATGTGCGAGGCATTCCCAACACTACTCGGAATTATACAGAGCGGAACAGAGAATCGGAGCGAAAGAAAAAATAAAAAATAAAATTATAAATGTGTAGATCACAAATGACCTAACCAATACACATTATTTATAAAATTCGAGCACGACACTATCTCAAAGTAGCACGTACATCGAACGAACGAAACACAATGGAGGGAGTGGTGATGGTGTTAGAACATACAATAATATATTGGTACACACGACATGTATACGGATGGGGATATACACGACGATGGGTACCGCAAAATTTGGATGGGTACACAGATCAGGTGAGAACTGAGATTGAAGCAGGCTCGATTGTTTACTTGGTCGTCATCATCGTAACGAATTCTGAAAACATACTTGATTTTTCAATTATACACTCATAAACATCTACTGGATGCTAGAAATCAAACAACACCAAGTCAAAAATGAGCAACATTCTGACGATCAAACAACAAAATCGATTTTATAAATGTGATGAAATATAGGGAAGATGAGGATTTCCAGAAATACGACTCCTATCTGTGTACTTACCAATTTTTCTTTCAAAAGCCGAAGGGAGGGGGGGGGTATGTCAGGTATGTCACATAAACTATCACAAAATAGTTGCAATGTGGCGTACCCGACTAGAGCGGAGGGGAGGGGGGGGGGTGCGGGGGTATGCGCGCAAGAAGTGGGGGACAGTCTAATGGATCGCTTGCTTCAGGCTCATATGGTTTCATTTCACCGTTATGGATTTCCTTTTCGAACAGTCACTAAAAGAGGGTGGGGTAGGAGGGTTGCACCTACAGCCCTTCCAGGGGAGGAGGGTCGTCGTAGCACCCCCCACCCTCCTTCTCCTCCTCCCCAATTTTAGCAGATGCTTGGCCGTGCTTCACAGTCCACTCCTGGTGAGAAAGCCCATTCCAGTTTCCGCATAGATTCTTCAACTCCTTCCAAAGCTCTGACACTGCTATCCGTCTGCGCTTCAGGATTTCGCTACAGGACCAAGAACATGTCCATATACTTTTGTGACCCTCACAAATTTAAGAAAAAACGCCTCAGGTCGACTGGGCATTCAAACTCGCTGAAATGGCCTGGTAAAGCCAGAAAGGTAGGAATAGGTCAAGTCTGACCATGTCGCAGGAAAGAGCGCCCGACAGCTGCGCGATCAGAGTGGTAGTATAATACTAAGCGAAGTGAACTGAATACAACTTGGGGCTTCTGGAAAACGTCTGGTACCACCCAAGGTTCTACTAGAACTTGTCAAACACATCTCTTCGATGGTGAAACCGTTCTCTTCATGAAATGCACCAATTTAACCCGTTCACTCCAGTCAGCTCCATAGCTCGAACGACTTCCACTTTTTTGGGATGAAAAGTCCCAGAGCATCAGTGACGAAGAGAAAACATTTAGTAAGAAACAAGTAACGAATCAGTATCTTATAGTAGATGCATGACTGAAATGTCATCTTTAGAAATGAAACACACCTTCATAGTTCACTTGTCCATCTCCATCGATATCCGCTTCGCGGATCATCTCATCGACCTCCTCGTCAGTGAGCTTCTCGCCAAGATTCGTCATTACATGACGCAATTCGGCCGCCGAAATAAAGCCATTACCGTCCTTGTCGAACACCTAGAATAACGTCCGAGTCAGGGTAAGTGCACCACAGCAGAGAATCCATCGAAAAGAATCTTAGGGTCTCTTATCGCATTAAAGACTTCCCGCTCACCCCGCATCAGAACCATATCTCATCAGGGATACTATAAGTACAGTCTACTTCGCTGCGGACGGTTGGGCGTGTCAGGCAGTATGAGTGTGTCACCCCGTCAAAGCCGTTCTCTGCCTTCTTGTTGAAGCGCGCATGCGACAAAAAGTAGAAAACGAGTAATACGAACGATATGATACAGTCATATCACTTGCTCGCTTTAACAACTGATAGAGAACGGATTTGCACC